CTGCACACACATTAACTTTGTGCGAGCAAGGCCTAGGAGGCGATAACGAAAGTTACCTCTACCTGGTCGATTAGAGGAGCAAAACAGTACAATACGTTGTTTCACCTTCACTTCATGGTAGAAAATGGTACCGATGAGGGCGACTATGGCTGCGGGCGCAGTAGTGGCGATGGGGAAGGTGATGGAGGCTTGCAAGGCCTCGTTTGCGATCAGCCAGCAGGCCTGACCTGTAGTCCATAAGAGTCCCGTGAGTAGAGCAGGCAGGATCATAACATTGGAAGGAATCTCCGGTGAGTTAAAGGTGGAACAACTGTAGATGACAAAGTAGATGGTGGAGGCAAGCAGGGAACCCACTCCAGTTGCACCAATATAATGGATTCCTAGAAAGAAACGGAAAGCAGTCGGCTGAGAATGTGCGACAGGAGTGCTGCAAACACTTGAGCAGTGCATCTATTTCACGGAGGTTTGGGAAACTTGATAGGAAATTCGGTTTTGATTGTGTACAAAATGGATAATTGTAATTTTTAAATGAGTTGGTGACACAAGACAAAGAGGGGCCTCCATAAGGATGAATCGTTTAAGAATGCACTAAATATTGGTTTCAAGGCTCTACTTCATTCAGCATTAGAGAGAAGAGAACGATACGGAAAAAGTTCCATACGATCGTATTCTGATTTTCGAGTAGAAAAACGCCATCGGTTTATGTTGCAAAGGTTGTCCTCGTTTGTCAAGCAATCCATCCGGTACCCTGATAGTAAATGTGGATTTCAGAAATAAAGAGATGTTATTGCCACTTTTGGCCCGCAGACTACAGCTTGTGATGGTATCTTACATATTTTCGTAGGTGTGCAGTAGCGTATTTTAGACCTTAGTAAGTTATTCGAAAGTGCTCTGAACACGCCCTCTCATATGCGCCAGTCCAATTTCCTAGCCGGTCGGTCATGCAGCTCTGTGGCTGAGAGCAGTGACCGGCAGGGCTACACGAGTTCGTCTACGCGTACCACACAGTCCCTGTCTTGCGCAGAGTATGATAGTTTTTTACAAACAGAAGACACGGTTAATCAAATAGAAAGCAGAAGGATGATAGATTAAGTCTTCCTCAAGGTACAGAGACGCCTCCGCGATCTCGCAGATTGTATTCGAGAACGCCTCGCGAATGGCGAAAAACCGCTAAATAATACCTTTTTCTATATGGTGATTGCTTTATATTTTAAATCCGAATTTTTATAAACATTTCCCACATAGTTATACAGTATAAACGCTTTCAATTCGCCTACAGAGCAAACAAGATTCGTTAAAATTCTGTGTGTAAGTACACTGGTTATAAACTACGCGAAGCCCCTAAGAGGGCCGCGTGGTAGATGCGCCGGACCAAGATGGGGGTAAGATCAGGGTACAGCAAATGTTGTTCGAGTTGCGCTCCCATAACGGATGCCGAACATGGGGAGGGGGCGTTGGTGGCACGCATAGATGCAAGCTTAAGTCAAAATAATATTTACGGAGGTCAACATGCTTGGGCTAAAATGAGGCCGTTGTAAATGACCGGTTTAGCGTGGTTTAAAACATTCCCTCTAGACAAACACAAACCAACGGATGCTGAATATTGCTCAATTTAAAAACGGAAGTCTGTTAGGCGTACGCAACCCTCTGGGCGACTGTGATCAGTTGCTTGTGTATAGTTCAAAACGTTTACCTCCTCCTGCAATGCGATGAAGTATTTAGAATAATTTTAAGATGACAAATATTCTGTGATCCTTTATAAATGAGATGACATCAGCTATGAAGTTCTTTGCGCCGTCAGGAATGGCATACAAAACAATATTAACTGGTGAAAATGATGTTTTCATTCGACAAGAATAGAATCAATTTAGCTGATTCTCAGAGCATCCCAGTATGCCGGTAGAAAGGTGGGGGTAACGGAGTGCTCAAGTCCAGATAAAGGCGCATAACTAAAGAAGAACAACTGAACCTCACCTTTCTGGCTGGCGCCGGGTTCATTTTCCTGTGTGTAAATTATCGGCACAAAAACCAGGCCATAGCAGATTCCCGACAGCAGAGCCAAGAAGATACCCCTAGGCAGAGGAAGAGATAGAAATGCTTAAGTAAGGAGAACACAGCGGTATAACATCGAAAAATCGGTGCATGCAGCAAGAAGAAGGATTTTAGATCACTGGAATAATTTTCTTACTAAGTTAAGCCTTTGATCTCCTACATGACTGCAACGTCAGTGACAAAAGCGGCACCAAAGGAAACACCAGTTATAGTATGGAGCAAATCGAACAGCAGTATCGCCAGTCTGGAGATGACTGCACGGGGCTCTGTATACCGGCGTTGGATCTATATACCGATTGACTAAGTTCTAATCGGAGGTACACACTTCAGTAGATTCTGGCGTTACTGATAGTTCATTGGCTCCTAGCCCCTATAACTGTTACTTCCTTTGTTGCTGCTTTTATCTCTAGAGATGGACTGTTGTACAATTTCCAAAAGCGTTGTGAACTTAAGAATCGTTCCGGCGGGTTAACAGTTTTCTTTTCTACTTATACGTAATCTCAAAATGCGAAACTTTGCCTAAATTTAAAAAACGAGCGTTATCAACTATATGAATGGTTTGAATTAATTTGGCAGAGGCAACGACCATTCGATTAAACCACATAGTCTACTCTTCAAACAGGACTGCACCTAAAACGGTCTAATAAACTTGTACGCTGCGTTACCATGCCTTATCAATCGCAGTAACTACTTGTTCCTTTTCCCCACCGAAAGACGCCAACTTCACAGACCATATCGATTTCACAACAGTTATCCGCGGTCTAAACACCCTTCCTGACCTAAAAATAACTAACTTTCCTTCAAACGCACTCGATCTCGTGACATCACATACTACATGCATCAATGAGCCATAACCCGACTAGCTTAGCCCACCAGACACCCACCCACCAACCTACCAACCGTTAGCCGGAACCGACAAAAAAGATAAACGTCCTATTTGAAGTGTTGAATTATTAAGCGTCAACGGTGCATACCTTGCCATTAAGAATCGATTTTCAGGGCAAAAGTAGCTTATGTAGCCCCACTCATATACCCCTAGTCGCAACATTTTGTCCTGAAAAAACGGTGGTAATATAGTTTTGTGAGGTGGGGAAATAGGATAGGCAGAGAAGGAAATTTTTAGAAGTTTGAAGTGAAAAAATGTAGTCGAAGTTGCTTCCCGCGGCCGCTGGTAGCAGGTTGTTCCGCATGTAAATTGACGGTGTGCGCGGCACTTCGCGCCGCGGACTATGCTAATCCAACTCCAGAACGGTAAGTTGGACCACAGGTAAGTTGATGTAGACGACCTCCTAACCACCATTTCAATTTTTCGAGAAATTCAAGTAAA